GATTGGAAATGATTTGTTGTGTTGATTTAAACGAATTTGAGAGAAAAACCCTTGAATTGAGAGAAATATTTTCGCAAATTGGGAGAAAGAGGAGAAAGAATCACAAACCTGAAGCTTGGAAGAAGATGAGGCAGCTGTTTTAATTTGATGTTTAAAACCTTGTTCTTCTTCCTCCAACAAATTTATTTAGAAGAAGAATTTAAGAGTTTTTCAAATTGAATGAGGAACCCTAATTTTTAAATTGAGGATTTTTAGTTTCAAATCGATTTGGGGTTTTCTTTTATTGAAGTCATTTCGTTTTTTAATAAAATACAAAACATCATGTTTTCATTTAACTGTAATCCGTTAAGATTTGACAGTACTGTTCACGAAGGGGCTAAATCATTACGAAAACTTAGTTAAGAGGTTTTTACATTACAAAAATAGTTGAGAGGTTTTTATCCGATTCAAACTTAATTGAGGGGATTTTTCACTAAAAACCCTATAAATTATGAGAACTATTACATCGACAATTCTTCAACGGACAAGTTTCTCGCCTGCAAACACGCCAAACGGATATGTAAATGTTGCTACTTCCTTATAGAGTATATTTCAGATTTAGTTAAAAATTGTGAAATTTTGTCAAAAACTATATATACATCTAGTTTATAATAGATACTAGATTACATTATGCATAATACATGGTAAAAGATAAAATGTGTATATACAGTAGAAACTTTATAAATTAATACTCGATAAATTAATACACCATAAATTATTAAATGTTCATGGTTCTGAGTTGGATCAGTTCAAAATATTACACAATTCAATAAGATAATAAGATAATAACTTTAACAAAACTCCTACGTAAATATATGGTCTCATTGTTATCATAAATTAATAATTACCATAAATAAAAGTTGATATAAACGTGAGATAATCAACTAAAATATGAGTTTAATGATATTTATTATTTATTTTATATTGAAGTCTTTTTAGAACTTAATTTTAATTTTTGAAAGAATTTTTTAAATATTATAAATTCAAAGAAATTTTCTTTTAAAATTTAAAATTAATAAAAATTTTTACTTAAAATCCATAAATTAATAATTTTATAAATTAATAAAATACCAAAGTCCCAACATTATTAATTTATAGAGTTTTTACTGTACTCTTAAATTAATAACATATGTAACTATAATCTGTATAATTAAGTTTGAAATTAAGACACCGTTTATCTATTAATTAAGTTTTGTAACTTACAATAAAAAAATTTAAAATTGATTTATATTATACATAAACAATTTTTCTAAATGAATGAGAGGAATCCAGAAACAAATTTCAAAACACCTGAAATACCCAAAAATATATCCGAACTATCGGCTATTTTCTCCCGAATCATCCCAAAATACCTGAAAAAAAATTAAAATTTTTGGGTTTACAATTGTAATTTTAGATATTTTGGTTATTTCAAGTCAAATACACCTAATAATTTTGCGTATATAATTTTACTTGGGATACAAATTTTGATATTGATTTGGTTTCAATTTTCTTCAGATATCCAAAATGTATTTAAAAGATAAACTATTCGATATGAATGACTATCTGATTCGATTTGATTCGGTTATGGATAATTTGCTCAAGGAAACATGGTAGAAACACATTGGGTCTATTGGCTTTTGAATACTTGGCCTAACGTCAATGCTTACCCCTCTCATCACATACTTTTCTTTACTTTGTGTAAAAGTTCCTAAGAAGGAAAAAAAAAACAACATTGGAGGCTAATGTGGCAAATGTTCTCTGTTTTCTATCAAACCCATACAAGGTCTAGTTTCCTCGTTATAATTTGCATAAGAAATCAAAAGAGATCAAAAGAAAGGTTTGCAAAGAGAAGAACATAATTTGTCCTAATCTTAACAAGAAAGATGTTCAAGAGCTTGTGTTATCATCTCAAAGTCAAAGATTCTGTATATCGACATTCTCTTTTAATGAGTTTTTACATGATTTAAAACTTACTTTTTGGATTATAGTTTATTCTTATAGATATAAGGTTAGTCCTATATAATGTCAAGAAGAAGGTTTGTATATGATTTAAAACTTACTTTTGGATTAGACTTTAGTCTTTTTGATTGAAGGTAAGTACTTTCTATTTATAATTTATATATGCAAAAGTTATGGAGAAGAGAACAAAAATTAATACTAAACAGGACTATTGTTCTTTAAGATTAAAAATAACATTAATATATGAAAGCATGAGAAAAGCTGATTTATCTTGTTATTTAAGATGTTTGTAGTGGCCAACCATAACTGAAATCGCAGTACGGATTTGAATCTAATTTATAACAAGGAAACATCACCGATACAAATCAGTAAATTATTATCTTATTTTTACTCTATTATAAAGACTTTATTAATTATATCGATTTGAGTTTAGGGTTTAGGACAATGATAAGCACAATAACACGGAGAGAAGGTTTTTCCTTTTATGCATGTAGCGATCCCCTTCCTCCTCCGCGTACACTCAGAGCTACACCATTTTTTATCACAATTTTTGTTGTTAAGATTATTCAGTTGCTCCTGGCAATTATAGTACCTGTCTCTTCCAACTATTCCTGTAAATTACAATAATATTTAAGACATCAAATTTTAGTTTTTATATTTAAAGTAAAAATATAGCATTTTATTTGTTTCAAGAATAGAGGCTGATGTTATGATAAATGAAACAGAATAACATGGTAAGACAATATTTTGTAATTTATTGAAATGGTTTTAAATGTGGATACAAACCTAGCACGAAGAAGGTGAAGACAAATAAAACGATGAACGTGAAATGAAAGGGCTTGCTCATTTTAGATGTTAGAAAATGAATGATGATGTGTTAAGAACTTTGAAGAGAAAAGAATTGATTAGAGTGTGTGCGTGTGTGTCTGTGTATATATATATAAGTTAGATCTATCTTATTTTTAGACAAATCTATTTTAATTCATGAAACTCCTTAAAACTGTGATTTGAATGGATCTGGTTCTACGCAAAAGTCCATATTGTTGGCTAGTCAGATATGTAAAAGCATTAGATCCGCTCTTATTGGTCTTTCCTTTAAATATTTTTTTCAATATAATAAAAAATTGTGAAATTTTGTTCAAAACTACATATCTAGTTTATATGACATTACGTTCTGGATAATAGGAGGTGAAAGATAAAATTTCTATATTATAAAATTGATAATCTGCATAATTAGATTCTAAGAAACTGTTTAGTTATCCAGAAAGTAAGTTTTATAGTTTGCAGTTAGAATATTATTAATTAATTTGCATAAATAATCCATGTAAGGGGTGTCATTGGGAGATTGATTTATGAAAATTTTTAGAGTAAAATTCTATAGCTATTAGTTTGTAGATTTTTATATTCATAATAAATTTCACTGTTATTCGTAAATGGATTATAAAAAATTTATTATTATTAATATGATGATTTTCATAATCTAATCAAAATTTATTATTATTCAAAAAATTTGTATTCTATAATTCTGTTATAATATAATGTTATTGGGATAATGTTTCTTTACAATTTAACTCATAAATCATAATTTTCAAAATACTACCTATATCTCTTGAATTCTCAAATTCTGTCATATCAAATCTATTATTAAATCCACAAAATTTCTTACAAATTTTACAAATCCAATAAAACTCTTGAAGATTTAACAAATTTCATGACTTTTAAAATCAATCAAAATTTTTATAAATCCAACTCCCAATAACCCTACCTAAGTAAATGAGAGGATTCTAGAAACAAATTTCAAAATACCTCAAAAAAAACTTAATTATCTGCTATTTTCCCTTATTACCCAAGATTCCTCGAAAAGAAAATTAAGATTTTTGACTTGATAATGATAATATTTGATATTTCTGTTATTTCAAGTCCAAATACATCTAATAATTTTTTGCGTTATAAATATATTACATATACCCATATGGATCGAATTGGTTTTAATTTTGTTCAAATATCCAAAATGGTTTTAAAAGAGAAACCATTCGATATTTATAACTATCCGCATTTTATTCCTTCTAATAATTTGATTCGGTTTTGATAATTTGTGTAATATTCCAATTTTTATTATATATGAAAAGACTTATAAGAATTGATTTGACTATTTATGTTATCAAAGTGCACTTAAGAGAATTCTAGAGTTAAGCGTACTTAAAACTGGAACAATTTCACGATAGGTGGTTTACCGGAAAGTGGTCTGCAGTATCGTGTGAGTGAGGACAAAGTATGGAGAAATATCACGTGGTGATTGCAAGGATAGTAAACAAGTCTTACGAGCCTCCCGGACTAACGCACCGATCGTCAGACAATGGTAGGCCAGCGAGCCTAGAAAATAGGATGTTGGGCTCACAAGCCTAGAGAGAGGACGGTGGGTTTACTGGGAGGAATGGTTAGGGCGTTCAGAGTTAATAGACAATCCAGATGAAAAGCGGAATCAGAGTCTCATAGATTTGATAACCAGTCTGGTTTCCGGAAGGGAAAACGGAAACGGGGTTTCACAATTTGGTATAGAAAAAACGGTTGAAACATATTGGGTCTATTTGACTTTTAAAGACTTGGCCTGAAGTCAATACTTACCCTCTCAACACATACATAATTTTCTTCACTTTGGGTAAAAGTTCCTTAAAAAATATGTAAAAACAACAATCGCTGGAAGCTAAAGTGGCAAATGCTCTCTGTTGTCCTATCAAAACCATACAAGGTCTAGTTTCATCGTTATAATTTGCATACGAAACCAAGAGTGATTAAAAGAAAGGTTTGTAAGAACATATTTTGTCATAATCTTAACAAGAGATGTTCAAGAGTTTATAATGTCATCTCAAATTCAAAGATTCTGTATATCGACATTCTCTTTTTATTAGTTTTTCCATTCTTTAATCAGAAATTAAAAGGACAAACAACACAATTGTGTTGATTCATCATTAGGAAACAAAACGTCATAATTTTTTTTATTACATGACTAAAAAAGCAACTGAAAAAATTTCTAGTAAAAAATTTGTCAAAAGGCTCAAAGCTAAATTCTCTTAGGATTAAAATTTACACACAAAAACAAAAATCAAGCAAAAGTAAAACAGAGCCATTTCTTGACCGTTGGTTTATCACCGTCTTGTTTCCTCTGAGAAGTCGTCTTCGTCGAACTCCTTCCCGTCTTTTTATCTTCACCGGCTTTGCTGAATATCACCGTGAACCCATCCGCCGTCGCCGGATCATTCACATCCCATTCCCCGAATTTCGGCAACGGCCTTCCAGCGTCGTTCGATGCCATTTCCGATCAAGAAAGTAACAATGTCTCTAATCTCTTGAGAACACACAAAAAAGAAAAACAAATCTTGTTCTTCTTCTTCGATGAGTTGATGTTTTTGTTTAAAGGGTCTGGCCCACGATGCAAATTTATAATGGAGAAAATACAGATAAGTAGGATTTGTCTTTGAAATCTTCCTACGAATTGGACTCGTTTCATACACGGAAGAATATTCCATTAGCTCCTTTGTTTTTCTTTTAATGTCTTTAAAATCTTTGTGAGGTACAAAACCGTTGGCCTTTCCGCGTATCAAAGCTAATTAAAGCAAATACCATATCCATGGCTGATCTGTTTTCTTCATTAATCACACGGTAGTTTTACAATCCCTCTCATCTTTCTTTCCTTATATATATACCAAAAGACAAAGCTTTTTAAGTTTTCCTTTAATGGCGATCACAAGCTTCCCATTTCATTAGCTCTTTTCCTCAACAGATACTTTTGTACTTTTCCTGTCGAGGTTTTAGGTAAGTCCCCGAAAACAATAGTCTTTGGAGCCATGTAATGAGGCAAATGATCTCTACAGAACTCAATAATCTCCTCCGGTTTAGCACCATCAAACCCATCTTTAAGCTTCACGAACCCGCAAGGAGTCTGTCCCCAATGATTATCCGGACGTGCCACAACAGCAGCTTCAAGAACCGCTTGGTGGCTACACAAAGCTCTCTCGACCTCAACGGTGCTTATGTTCTCTCCTCCTGAGATGATCACATCTTTTAACCGATCTTTGATCTCAATGTACCCGTCCTGATGCTTCACAGCGAGATCACCACTGTGGAACCAATCTCCCTCGAAAGCCTTTTGTGTAGCCTCTAAGTCCTTGAAATATCCACTCATCACTGTGTTTCCTCTAAACATAACCTCACCCATGGTTACACCGTCGTTTGCTACAGTCTCCATTGTCACCGGATCTTTCACCTCAAGCCCTTCTAAACCCAAATGCTGCACTCCTTGTCTAGCTTTAAGCTTAGTTCTCTCCTCCAAAGAAAGACAATCCCATTCCGGTTTCCACACGCAGTGTGTCCCTGGACCGTACGTCTCTGTCAAGCCATAAAGATGAGAGACATTGAAACCTAACTCTTCCATCTTAGCAAGGATCTGAGGTAAAGGCGGTGATCCACCGGTCATAACCTCGACTCTATGAGGAAGCGGTTTATGTTCGGTCACAGGAGAGTTCACAATCATGTTTAGCACCGTTGGTGCTCCTCCCATGTGTGTCACATTGTGCATAGCAATGTTCTTGAAGATGAGCTTAGGAGTGACTTTCCTGAGACAGATGTTTGTACCTCCCTGAGCCGCTACTCCCCAAATGAGACACCATCCGTTACAATGAAACATCGGTACTGTCCATAAATAGACAGGAGAGACAGACATCTGGTGAAGAAAAACAGTAGCGAGAGAGTTGAGATAAGCTCCTCTGTGACTATACACTACGCCTTTAGGTCTCGAAGTCGTCCCTGAAGTGTAGTTTATACTGATTGGATCCCATTCGTTTCTCGGTTTGATCACCTCGAAATCGCTGTTTCCTGATTTAAGCAGAGATTCGTAATCATAATCAAACGAGTAGTTTGATGCAAAGCTTGATGATTTATCATCATCTTCATCATCATCATCATCATTAGACTGAGAGATCAAGACAAGCATTGGAGCTTTTCTAGTTCTGTCTGATTTAGCAAGAAGATCAAGAGCTCCATGTGCACGCTCAAGTAACTTAAGATCAACGAAGAGGATTCTCGCCTCCGAGTGTGCGAGCAAAACCGACAATGTCGAAGCATCGAGTCGAGTATTGAGCGGACAGAGAATTAATCCAGCCATTGGAACAGCGAAATGAAGCTCTTGCATTGCTGGAACATTCGGCGCCAAAGCTGCAACCTAAAGGATCCACATTTACCAAAAAAAACCTAACCTTTCGGATTTTTCAAATCGAAAAATCTAATCGGAGCAAGAAATTGAACAAATTTAGAGACTTACCACGTCACCGGGAGAGATTCCGAGGTGGGTCAGAGCAGAGGCGAGACGGAGACAGCGTTGATATGTTTGGAACCAATTGTGCTTGACGGAACCAAACACAACAGAGGTTTGGTCTCTGTAAACCTTGGCGGATCGCTCCAAGAACGTGATTGGGGATAAAGGGGAGAAATTGGCCGGGCAACGGATCAGACCCTCCATCGTTCTCCATGATTCCGGCTCGGAATCGTCGGAAAATCCGCCGGAATACGAGGTTGAGGAGAAGGAAGGACGGGTCAAGCACGGTCTCTGAAAACGTGGGCTGAGGATTTTCAATGCTCTTTTGGTTAACAAGAATCTCATGGTTTAACACTCTGAAATCTGAATTGCCTCTGCTTGACTTCTCGAATTCAAAGTAGAATTTGATCTGATTTTGTTGCGGGATCCAAATTAGTAGCTTTATGAAGATAAATCATGCCTCGTGATTAACGTTATTAACTTTGTAATGTGCACGATAATCTGACAGGAAAAATGCCAAGAAAATCTTGGACTTTATCCATTTTTTTTAACAAGAGTCTCGTACTAAGTTGGCAGTTCGATAGACGTTTCTTCATTGCCATAGAGTCCGACAAATCTTGCCAGTGAGTGATTTTTTCGAGATGATTTTTACCAGACAATTAAGATCTTTGAGAAAGGTTTAAAAGCTTGGGGGTTCTAAGCGAAACTCATCTCTGATTGTCTTTTCTTTACGTCCAAAATTAATCATGGCCCCAAGCACAATCTTGATTCTTGAAATACCAAATACCATAACTTTTTCTAGGATTTAATTGGTTGCATCAACAACTGCCGTTGCAAACGAGCTGCAGAAAGTATCACCAATCAGCAAGACTAATTGAAATCTATTATATTAAAACAGAAGTATATTTAGTACTTGCTTTCAAACACTCTTAATTTTTTTTTTAAGTGTTTAAAAATAATTTTAATAATTATTTATATTTAATTTCGAAATTTAGTTATTAATTTAAATATTTTTAGAATTCCTTAAATATAGGTAATTTAGATTTGATTTGATTTGATTAAAAATACTAAATTAGATATTAATTTAGATTTGATTTAAAGATTCTAATTTAAATAATTTCTATACTATTAAACATTTTTATCAAAAATATCTAGAATTTTCGAAAAAAAAATTCACATATGAAAAATAATTGTCATATTTAAAATATTAAATATTGATAATAATGTAAATGATATGATATTTATGTTGTTTATATAATATATTTACGATTATGATTTATTTACAAATTAATAATAAAATAATAGGTAAAATTCAAATGTATAATTTAAATATTAAAAATATATTTTTTAAAATTTATAGAACTAAAAATATATATAAAAAATTGGGTTAAAAATATTTTGGTAACTAATATCACTAATTTTGAATTATACATGTATATCGAAAATATATTTTTCATACAAAATCAAAACAGAAAAAATTAAAAATTATTGTATACATTATAATATGGTTTGAAAAACCAGTTGTACACTCCTTTCGTTGATTAAATTTTAGAAAATTATAATGCTAAATAATACTGTTAATACATCTCAAACTTTTAATAAATATTTATATTATACGGTAATATGAACGGAAAAATTAGAATTATATTTTTATAATAGTTCATTTTGAATTAATATTAGCAGACGGGTTAAAATTATATTTTTATAATCATAATTAATTTTAATACTATAAAAATATATATAAACACAAAATCAATATTTTCGCATATTAAAAAATATATTTATAAAAATAATTATATATAAACTCAAAAACACAAATTATATTACAAAATTTGTTAAACAATAAAAAATATTTCCGTGCGGATGCACGGGGTTAGAATCTAGTAAGTGTTTAAAACCGTAACTTAAAAAACATTTGAAATGAGTGGTTAGTGTTGGTGATATGCTCCGCAATCCGGTTCGACCCGGTACAAATCCAAATCAGCTCAATTGAATCTGGTTTACGGCAATTTGTGTTAGGATGGACCAAGCCCGACCACGCCGGCCCAACATCGAGGAAAGACCCAACAAGTTAAGTTGGTGATCAAAGGAGCTAAACCTAAGAGCCTCCTAATCCGCAGTAGTATAAATAGAGAAGATCTGGAAGGGGAGCTCCAGATCTCCGAAGGTGAATAGTAGCCAACTCATTCATCTTGTATTAGTTCCCGACTCGGGTCCAGTTGTACTCATTATCTGAATTAATAAGATTACTGAATTACCCCTTTTTAGTTGATTAACCGCATTCAACAGTTAGAAGTTAATTTGGGTGGTTAAAAATTAATTTGAAGACGTTTACAAATAGCTAAAAAATTGACCATTTGGAGCATTAACCAGGAGTTGTGGACAATGTTTTTTTCTTCTTAATTATATTTATAGTTTTGTATTGTTCTTTTTTGTAAATTTTTAATGATGCACTGTAAATTCATTTTTTTTGTGTATATGTGTGTTGTTTTTATTTTTGCATTTTGAAAGTATTATTGCAGTAATAATAATAATAATTTATGTTTACTCAAATTTATATTATGAAATTTAAACTATATATCATTGCATTATTTTAATTAAATTATAAACAAAAATCACTAATAATTTTATATAATAATACTATTCAACCACTATAATGTTATCAATCTATTATATTAAAACAGAAGCACTTTTAGTGTTTGTTTCCAAACATTCTCAAATTTTTTTTTTAAATATTATATATATAAATTTAATTTCGAAAATTAAATATTAATTAGATAACTAAAAATTTCCTTAATTATAGGTTATATCTATAGTCTATAGATATTAATTTAAATAGACTTCCTTAAATATAGGTTAGATTTAATTTAACATTTGAAATTTAAATAAGATTTTCAGAATAACACATATGATTAACAAACATCTTATTATATTTTTTAATCATATTCTATCAAACTAAAATTTCACATATTGAAAATAGATAAATATAAATATTATATAATAATTTGATGGGACAAGTTAAATTTTTTTTTATAAATGCGGATTGAGTTATCAAAACATGCAAGATGTTAGGAGAAAATAATTTCAAATTTTTAAATATTTATACTATAAAGTAATATAGACGGGTGTGTTAGAATTATGGTTTCATAATCATAGTCCTTTTTAGATTAATAAAATAAGCGAGTTAAAAATATATTTTTATAATAATGATTATTTTTTATTAATAAAATAACCGAGTTAAAATTATGTTTTTATGATCATGGTGGTCATAATAATACTGAAAAAAATTTATCTAAACACAAATTTATATCACTTATTAAAAAATTATATTTATAAAAAAAAAAATTAAATTACAAATTTTGATTAAAACAAAATTGAATCGTTTTTATTTTGCACAACCATTCAAAATATTTAAAAGTGGTCACTAATCAAATCCTTAAATATCGAATTTTGGTTAAAGATTGCATACTTTTTTCTCAAAACAATAGTCATTAGACCATAATAAATTTGACTAAGGCTCATTGGGAAGCTGTAAAATGGCATATTTATTTGTTTCACATAGTTTATATTTTGCTATTCTCATAACTTATTCGTACGACAATTTTTCATTTTGCAGATTTTATCCTGCAAAAACATTATTCCGAAGCTTTATTCGTCCATCATTCTCGATTATGCAGTGTTACTAATTGGAGCCTAATTTTTAATTTTTATTAGGTCTGCGTATTATATTTTAAGTACATTTGGTTGACAAGAAGCATTTAATATAATCTAATATTGTAAACTATAAACAACTTGGCACCATTAGTGGGTCTCTCTCTACCTTGTACAACATTCATATTCCACTTCTCCAGGAATACTATTAAGATTCAACTAAAATTATCTCTGGATTAAAATACAATTATCTGTCTAAGAGACCCTAAACACATTACGAACTTGGACTCAATTACGGCCGCGACCAGATAAGGCCAAAGGAATAATAAAACAAAATAAGGGGTTAAATGATATGATATCGTAGAACCACCATTCAAAGCGGTGAACACACTGACACAACACCAAGACTTGAAATCAAAACGAGAAACCAAACAGCAACGACCATCAGGAGCAGAATCAGAGTGAATGAAAGGACCCGCTTAGAAAAGGAAAAAAGGGCTTCTTTCTCAGTTTCTCATCATCATATCCATTAAAGTAGCCTCCTTTACCTTTCTCCGTCTCTTTCTGTCAAATCAAAAGAGTTGTGATTGATCTTCTTCGTCTTGTTCTTCTATTCCTGGAATTGTATTCTCCGGAGATGAACGGCGACGAGCGTCCCTTTGAGAATGGTTTCGATGTTTACACCAAGGGAACGCACAAGTCGGAGTTTGACCCGATTTTTCTGGATTCTGGTTCCGATCCTATTTGGGATGCTATAAGAGAAGAAGCTAAGCAAGAGGTTTCCTCTCAATTTTAACACTTTATGTGCATCATCATCGATTGTCATTCAGAAGAAAAGAGAAATGGTTTTTATGGTTTCAAGACTCCATGTTAATCCACAGTTTTCTTGTTGGTTGATGACCCTACAGAACAACAAGACTTTTATTTTTGTTGTTTAATTGTAACAGTGTCCATTAGGGTTTAGTCTTGTTTGTCTCGTTGAAAGTTTTGATTTTTAGTCAACCACTGATCATCATCACATATTGACTTTGTACAATAGTTTAGTAAACGAAATATTTGAGGTTAACTTGATGTTTTCAAGTGAGTGTTAAACATTAGAAAAGTTGTTTGGTTAAAAAGGAAGAAACTTGGAGAATAGTGCTAGTGTTATACGCTATCTTTGTAGATGTTGCGAATCTTACAATGATGAATCTTGTTGTGGTTACAGGCAGAGAAGGAGCCTATTCTGAGTAGCTTCTTGTATGCGGGCATCTTGGCACATACATGTTTAGAGCAAGCTTTAGGATTCGTCCTGGCAAACCGTCTCCAAAACCCGACCTTGTTGGCAACTCAACTCTTGGATATATTTAATGACGTTATGATGCATGACAAAGGTATTCAGAGTTCGATTCGCCATGATATTCAGGTACAACACTCATCTAATACATGTTAAAGACATGGTTTTAGTTTGTTTTTGTTATGAGCCTCAAATCAATGATTGCAGGCATTTAAAGACCGGGATCCCGCTTGTCTGTCTTATAGTTCTGCTATTTTGCACCTGAAGGTAGTAATTCTTTACTTGAGTCTTTAGAGATGAAACAGCTCTCACATGGATACGTTTTGTTCTTACAGGGCTATCATGCATTGCAAGCATACAGGGTTGCTCATAAACTGTGGAATGAAGAACGGAAACTATTAGCTCTTGCATTGCAAAGCCGAATAAGTGAGGTAGATTTGGTGATCATTGTCGTTTGGTTACTGAATTGGTTTGCATTTTTCAGCCCAATGTCTGATCTGTGCTGTGGGTTTCTCTCAGGTTTTTGGAATAGACATACATCCAGGTAAAGTTTGATGAGCCTTTATGTATAAACTCTGCAACTAGGAAGAAAATGGAGGAACTGATTGCTGGTTATACAAATTGCTTTTTTCTTGTAGCTGCAACAATTGGCGAGGGTATATTGTTAGATCATGGAACTGGAGTGGTCATAGGTGAGACTGCTGTGATAGGCAACCGTGTCTCGATCTTGCATGTAAGCATCTCTTCTCCAAACCTTTGCCTTGAAGTTACAATGCTGAGATCATGATTTTTCAGTTTTATCACGGCTGGTTATTACTGTCACAGGGTGTAACTTTAGGAGGAACTGGAAAGGAAACCGGCGATCGTCACCCAAAAATAGGCGAAGGTGCATTGCTTGGAGCTTGTGTAACTATACTTGGAAACATAAGCATAGGTCGTGGGGCAATGGTAGCTGCAGGTTCACTTGTGCTAAAGGACGTTCCTTCGCATAGGTATAAAAGTGAAAATATCTGAAAAAATCGTTCATTGAATATTTGTTTATAATGAACCATCCGTTTTGGGTTTTTGAAGTGTGGTGGCTGGAAATCCAGCGAAACTGATCAGGGTCATTGATGAGCAAGACCCGTCTCTGGCAATGAAACACGGTGAGTTTACAGATTCTTGTATTCTTCTTGCTCTGTGTTTCTGTCTCGCTCGGTTTTAGTTATTGCCTATTCGTGGATGAATATGCAGATGCTACGAAAGAGTTCTTTCGACATGTAGCTGGTGGTTACAAGTCGGCAATATCTAACGGTAACTTACAAAACTCGCAATGAACTCCCATGACATGAAAGAATATATGAAATGACTGTTCATGTGGGATCTCTGAACTTCTTAAAAACAGGACCATCAGCTTCAACAGGAGTTACAGAGAAAGGACACACTAACTGCACAACATGAGATCCCTGTATACATTTGCTTATCATCAAAAGCTAATATCTCAGCATTTTCTCAATAAGTTGTTTATTCAAAGATTTTGATCTCTGGAAGTTTTTCAGTTTATCTTCCTTAGTCTCAACGAAATGAGACTAGCATAACAGTGTAAATGACTCTTGCTTGAACATGAAATCTAGCATACGCCTAGATATTATTACTGAAAAAAAGTCCGCAGACAATTGGAATTCAAGTAACAAAAACTCAAAATCATAAGCATCAAAGCTTATAAACACTCGAAAAGATGACCCAGAAAGCAAAAAAAAGGAAGATGAAGAATTCAAGCATGCCTTGCCTGGAAATCCTTCATGAAAGCAACAAGCTTTTCGACACCAGCCAAAGGCATTGCATTGTAAATGGAAGCTCTCATCCCTCCCACTGATCTATGCCCCTTGAGCTGCACCATCTTCTCCTTAGCAGCTTCCTTGATAAACTCTGCTTCAAGTTCCGATTTCTCCAACGTGAAAGGAACATTCATCAAAGACCTCACAGACTTCTCAACGGGACACCTGAAAAACCCTCTGCTCTCATCAATGGCGTTGTAAAGCAGCTCAGCTTTCCTCTGGTTCTTCTTCTCCACTTCCTTTAATCCACCTTGCTCCAACAAATCATCGAACACGAGACCACACATGTAAATCCCGAAACACGGAGGCGTGTTATACAACGAGCTGTTCTCGTCGTGGGTCTTGTAATCAAGCATCACCGGAGTGATATCACGAGCGTTTCCGATCAAATCTTTCCTGATTATCACAATGGTGACACCGGAAGGACCAACGTTCTTCTGCGCACCGGCGTAAATCACACCGAATTTCGACACATCCACTGGCTTCGAGCAGCAATTGGAGGACATATCAGCGATTAAAACACCATTAGGGTTCTTAGGAACTGGGTAATCTTTGAATTCGACTCCATGGATAGTCTCATTGGCGCATATATGCAAATACTTGGCGTGCGGATTCTGCTCCAATCCATCAAAAGACGGGACTTTGGTGTATTTCTCGGATTTGCCTGACCAAATCACTTTCGGGTTGCAATATTTCTGCGCTTCCTTGAACGCTTTGTCTCCCCAAGATCCGGTAACAACGTAATCGACGGGATCGTCAGATTTGCAGAGGTTTAGCGGCAGAGCGGCGAATTGGGTGGTGGCGCCGCCTTGTAGGAACAAAACGGAATATTCCGGAGGGATCTCGAGGAGCTGACGGAGATCCGATTCGGCTTTTTGAATGATTGAGAGAAACTCTTTCCCACGGTGGCTCATCTCCATTACGCTCATACCAGATCCACGCCAGTTATAAAGCTCCGATTGAGCTTTGAGCAAGACATTCTCCGGTAATGCGGCTGGACCCGCCGCGAAATTGAAGACTCGCGGCTCGGATCCGACGGAGCTGGCTCGAACCTGCGTCGACGAGGAAGAGCATCTAATCGAGACGGATTTGGTTCTTGCGGTGAGGTTGACGGTGGAAGCTTTGTTGAGGTGAAGAAAGGATTGGGAAATGGATTTGGGTTTCAAGGAAGGGATCTGGGTTTGTTTTCCGACAAGGAAAGAGTTCGTTGACGCCGCCATAATCGTTGATTCTGAGAAATCTCGAAACTTTATGGCTTTTTTCCCCCAAAAGATGTGAAGAGTGTAACGAGAAAAGTATAGTGACGGCCAAAAAGACAAACAACTAAATATCTGAAAATAGTGAAGTGTGAAGATAGTTGGTTGCAGAGATGATAATAACAGGTCAAAATTTAAGACGATGAATCAAACGACGCCGTTTTTGGTAGGTATGATCCCAACCAGAACCGAATTTTGTTCCGATTCGGTATATTTTGATTTGGTTGAAGTCCGGGTTACTATAAAAATTCGGCTCGGTTCGATTTTATTTCTCACCCCTACATTCACAGAATCATGTCTAATTTGCGTTTCTCGAAATCGAACTTAAGTGAATCGGAATATTCTTTTTTTGGTCATTGGTCGAATCGGACAGTATGACTCATTTTGGTCAAATAATTCATATATGCAATGGTTTTTTTTTTTCCATTGTAAAGAAAGAGTAAATGAAGTCAAAGAATGATTGTATCCATATCATTCATCATGGACTGTATTGCTGAGAAAAGTTAATATTAAAGTGAATAAGAAAAAGAGATCAGAATCAAACTTCAGACAAATTGAACTTTTCTTCTTCTTTTCTTATGTTATTTGTGCTTAAGAGGAAACGAGGAACTATGTCAATAGAGCCTGTACAAACTACATATTGTGCTTTTGGCTTAAGGATGATCATGAGACTCAGTAGACACAAGAAAGTGTGCAGCTTCACACTTGGCTATGTACCCAAATTTGGATGTGCTGTACTTCCTATATACTCCTGTCAACTTCCCCGTCGCTGCCTTCTGATGAAGATTCACCATCTTCCTTGAACATTCTCTGCAAAACCCGCAATGACAATTAGTAAAAGACTGATCTTTTCTCAATACCCTATTGTGTTTACTGATAAAAGAATCAGCTTTATTGAAATGAGATGGAGAAAGACTTGCATGAGCTGTTCTTCAGAGTAATGAGAGTGGTATTCACATGTACTGTTCCACTGCCTGAAACCATCAAGTGTACATTGAGCAGTGTAAACAGCTGTGGCAGCTAGTAATGATGGTGGAAACCGAAGCATCTCATACTCCACAAGTGCAAGCTCGATCAAGAACGATGCCAAGATCTCACACTGTTTTTGTTTCAGTTTCACAGTTAGTTCCTATCTAATTCCAAAATTTTCAAGTTAAAATGATTCAAGAAGCTATATTGGTTTTTAACTGACCTTCTTATCTGCTTGAGCTGCCTTGAGAGATCTTTTCAAGAAAGGGTATTGTGTCGGCAACGAGACATTGAATTGCAAAGTACTCAACATTGTTTTCTCCTGCAGAGAGTAAATAGAATCAATTCATAAGAGATTTGTTTACAATATAAAGGAGACAAGATTGAGTTCTTCCAAGCCTTTACCATCTCTAGAACATCATTCCTCGTATAAGCTTTGTCTGAAATGAGTACTAAATCTTCGACAACGGGAACCGAAACCTCTTCATACTTGCAAGCTAAGAGCAAAGCCACTAACCCTACTAGCTGAAGCTTCTTTCTCATAACAGCTTTCTTGGACAAGAATCTATCTATCAGATTCACTGTGAGAAACAACGTCTCGTTCATCAGATCAAACTTGTCATGTACCTGCAATTTTACTCAAGTTTCTTTAGCCTCTATCAAATTACAAAGTACCATTCAAGAGTGATGACTGTCGAATTTCGATGTCTACCTCGATTAGCCAGTCGATTAGTATTGCTCTCATCTTCTCGTTTAAGTCGATTTGTTGCATCATATAATCTACTGGAACACAGCTAAACCTCTGCAAATTCAAAACAAGGATCGTCTTAAACAAGCTCTCAAAGACTCTTGCTCCTTGAGAGACGGATTAAACCAGACTAATTTACCTCCATTTTCCGGTAGAATGCGTAGAGATCTTGGACATATTCAACAGCTGCAAGTGAGTTCTTCGCATCTGAGACATCTATATCCAAAATTGATTCTTCCACTGTTACATCTTCCATCTCAACTTCCTCCTGTCCAATCAAAACCGAACAAGATTGAAATTCAGCATTATGCAATTCTACAATATTTTATTTGCATTCAAAGCTAAGATCTTTTATGAAGTGAATTGATTTATGTTTACCATTGGATCAGAGTCAGAGATGCTTGTGTATGGCTTCTCCAGCGACATTGGCATGGGATGGTCCAATGTAACTTCTTCTTCATCCTCAAAGAATTTACAGTCAACGAAATCGTTTGCACTTGGAACTGATTGCTTCAGCTTCTTCGTCTCCTCTTCACACAATGGCTCTTCAACACGAGATCTGCAAAGATCAAAACAATCTCAGATCTTTTCTTTCGAATCAGATATTTTCTTTCGAATCAGGTCAACACAAAACACACAAAAAGGCTCAAGCTTTATACCTTGTAACCGAGGGTCGCAGAGACTCAAGCTTCTTTTTTTGACATCCTTCTTCTTGCTTACTGATTCAAATCACCCCAAAAAAACCCATAAGCACAATCAAATCGACAATAATCAAAGACATTAAGTTGTGAGAGATTATGAGATTTTGTGAAGTTTACTTTGATAAGCTTCCTCTCTTGGTGACAACACAAGGGTAATAACCTCTTGCACTAACTAGATTCTGGTTAATCACACCCAAAACTCTTCTCTTGTTCTCTCTCTTCATCTCTTGTCCGAATTTTCTGCTTCTCGTTTCATCTAAACACAGCACACATATATCAGAATTTTTCCATTTGTAAGACCTTGAAAAACTCTCATATCACCAGAGACAAATGCGACTACCTTGAATCATCATCGTTGTAGTGGGTTTAACGGCGATTTTGTTCTCACCGGAGTTAACCATTTTTGTTCGTTTTGATTACTCCGAGAGAGAAAAAACAAAAAATAAAAACAAAGAGGCTAGAAAGAGAGCATTAAACGAAGAGAATCTTAGTCTGATACAGTCGAATATGGAGAAGGGGATGAAATAAGCAAATTGAGACAATGAAAGATGAATAAAAAAGGTGTAATTTTTAATTTTCAATTTTTTGTCTTTTAATTAAAAGAACGGCTAGGATCAGAATATGACCGTTGGATTCATGACAGAAACGATTTACTTCCAAGTCTGTATTAACGGTAACTTTGGTTCAAGGCATGTGGCTTATTCGTCTCTTCTTTATTTTTCAAAAAAAAAATATTATTCTTTTTTTTTCTATTGGGTGGCTTCGACTTTTACAGACAAAATTGTGCGCTCCATAGGCGCGGCTCTAACAAACTTTTGAGTTTAAAATATGGTTGATTATTTTAAAAATCTAAGTATTATTAACAATCAATATGCTTAAGGTTATTTAATATCCGTATTTACAGAGCTAATCATATGCTCTTTCAGTCTAATTTCAGAGAAAAATTCGTAGGAGACAAAGACCAGATTCCGTACCGAGAATTATGCTGGCCCGTGAGAGTTCTTTCCATTTGAAGTAATTTCTTGGTCAATAATATATTTTAATATTCCATTTATACTAGCCAAAAATTAATTTCAAAAAAAATTGGGGAAGCTGTAAAATTAAAATAACAAAATAAACAATGTTTTTGTAACAAAGGACTGTTGAACCGGAACTAAAAATGTTTTGATGTTTCAAGTAAAAGCATTATTGAAAATGTTTGTCTAAGTCATATTGGATCTGCATTCGACAAGGTTACTATGTTGGAAAAGAAGTTTCTGTTATAAACAAATGGACTTCTAGTAACCGGCCCATTAACCATCAGGTTAATGTCTTATGGCCCATTAGAGTTTCTGATATATTAGTTATGTAATGTATATATACATTGTTTGTGAAAATAATAAAAAAAAAGAGTTTTTCTCTTAATACGTTATCAGTACGAAGCTCAACTTCAAACGATCATATCTCTCAAAATACAAGGAGTTAGAAGGCGATCTACATATCATTTTGAAGCCCTGGAAGAGAAGAATCTAGTGGTGAAAACCGCTCCTCAATCCGACACCAGACGCGCCCTCAAGACTCAAAACAATCGGCGCTGTCCCACCTTAGCGGGTGATTCTTTCCAAGCGGTGGTTCCTCCATTGTAGCAGCTGTTCGTCCTTCCTTCTGGCCATCATTTTCAGGAGTTTCCAGTAGATATCTGTGGTCTTTAGCTCCCAGATCATAAGCCGGTCAGAAATCCATTTGGCGAAAAGGTATTATCTAAAACTATAGATCCTAATGTTTTGTTCAAACCCTATACCGATCGGTCCTAGCATCATCTAAACCAAACACTAAAATTCCTTGCAAACCGAAACCTAAATCTTTGCAAAACCCTAGATCTAAAAACGTTTTGGTTTGTCTATCGTTAAACCGAGATCGATCGGTTTAAATCCTAAACCGATCGGTTATTTATCTTAGATCCGATCCTTGAAAACCCTAAAACCGGTCAATGCAAGCTCCTAAATCCTAAACCAATCGACCCCTTAAACTCTAAACCAATCGATCCACCTAAACCGTTTATAAACCGATAAATTCTAATCCTAAATCGATAGGGTTTAAGTTTAAACCGATCGGTTTTTCCTAATAAAAATTAAACCCTAGCAAATCCGTTTAGTTTAATCCCTTAACCGATTAATAACCCTAATAACCGGTTTCCAAAATTAAATCTAATTTAACCGGTTTTGTTGTTTAATCGATCAATCCGATCGGTTTAAGCTTAATCGGTTAATTTCAAATTAGTTTCCAAAAAAAAAAAAAAAATTAATTTCAAATAAGTTTATCTATTAGAGCTAAATTTGGAAACCCTAGTAAACCGGCTAGGTTATAAACCCTAAGGTTCGATTTTAGAGTTCCCTTATATAGCAAGTTTCCTAAAATAGCAAGTTTCCTGAAATGGAAAGTTTTCCCAAGAATACCTTAAATCCCTTATTCCAATGATCATAGTATCATACTATTGATTATTTAACATAAATTATTATATGTTTCAGATGTCAAACATTCAGAAGGTCGAATATGAGGCACTCACTGTCTCCGGAGATAACTACCTCAAATGGGCCCTTGACACCAAGATCTACCTCAACTCAAAAAGTCTGGGTGAATGCATCCAAGATCCCAACACCGCGACTCAAACAGAACGGTACTCAGTGATATTTATTATCCGCCATCACCTCGCTGAGTCTCTCAAGCAACAATACCTCACTCTTGAGGATCCACTCGAACTTTGGGTGGCACTGAAAAAGCGATATGACCATCAGAAAACGGTCATACTGCCCCAAGCCAAGTTCGACTGGAAGAACCTACGGTTCGAAGATTTCAAATCCGTCGAAGAATTCAATTCCGAACTCTTTCGGATAGTTGCACTCATAAGACTATGTGGCGAGGAGGTCACTGATAAGGATATGCTAGAGAAAACATTCTCTACTTTTGGCACTCCCAATGTTGTTCTCCAACAACAATACCGTGCCATGAATCATAGCACCTATGAGGATTTGATATCTTGCTTACTGCTTGCTGAGAAGAACAATCAGCTTCTGTTGAGGAACAGTGCCATGCGGCCTCCAGGATCAGCCCCATTGCCAGAAGGAACCAGAAAAGAGTCCAACTTCGTCCAACGTAACAGATCCTCAGATCGTGGACGTGGACGTGGAAATGGACATGGACTGCACGGCAGAGGATGCGGTAGACCGAACCAAGATAACCGACCTAACCTCAGTTTTGGTCGGGGTAAGGGTCGTGGTATCAACAAACCGTCCCAAAGAGGCAGTTCATCTAGACCAACTCCTTGCTCAAGATGCGGAATGACTAATCATTGGGTCAAGATCTGCCGTACTCCCAAATGTCTTGCTGAGCTCTACCAGAAGTATGGGAAAGATAATCATGAGGCTAACCTGGTTCATCAAGTCAATGAAGATGACTCAAAGGATGATAAGATTGATGGCATGGATTATGAGCTCTCCGACCTCCTTGATTGATCTCAAAAATCTGAATTTGTTTTTCATTACTCCTTAAACTTTTATCTTTTGTTTTTGGGATTTATTGTCTTTACTTTGGATTTTTAAGACCTTTTGCTTTTACATTTTTATTTATGGAGTAATGTTTTATTTACATCTCATTTTTGCATGTTATTGAATTATAATTCTTGTTTAATGAAGATATGCAAGACAATATGGATATCATTGTGGATAGTGGATCGAGCCACACCATTCTAAAAGACAAGAATTACTTCATAAATTTAGTAATCAAAACCGCAAACATTAGCACTATAGCGGGTAGTTCGAGCCTAATAGAGGGCCATGGCCAAGCTAATGTGTTGTTATCAAATGGCACATATCTAGACATCTCTGATGCCTTATACTCACCCAGTTCTAAGAGAAACCTATTGAGTTTCAAAGACATAAGATTGAATGGTTTCCATATCGAAACTCAGGATGAAGGGAACAAAGAGTTTTTAATTATCACTAAAATGATAAATGGCCATAAACAAGTTTTTGAAACTATACCCGCCGTATCTACTGGCATTTACCATGCTAAAGTCAGTATGATTGAGGCTAATGCTGCTATCAAAGCACGGTTTTTAGATTACACTATTTGGCATGATCGCCTGGGTCATCCCGGTGCGAACATGATGCGTAAATTAGTCCAGAATTCTAAAGGGCACAGCCTTAAACCAAATGGTATTTTCCCTCAGCACCTCAAGTGCACAGCTTGCTCACAAGGGAAACTGATTACCCGACCTTCACCAGTCAAAGTGTCTAAAGAGACCTTGAACTTTCTGGAAAGAATCCAAGGAGACATATGTGGACCAATTCACCCACCTTGTGGGACATTCAGATATTTCATGGTCCTCATTGACGCATCGACCCGCTGGTCGCAACCACAGAGGACTAAAATGAATATTGTATGTCCAGGGGGTAAGTGTTGAACATCCCGTTCCACATGTCCATACACAAAATGGATTAGCTGAATCCTTCATTAAACGAATTCAATGGGTTGCTAGACCATTACTCATGAGGTCACAACTCCCGGTCTCAGCTTGGGGACACGCAGTCTTACATGCCGCTGAACTAATACGCATAGCTGAATCCTTCATTAAACGAATTCAATGGGTTGCTAGACCATTACTCATGAGGTCACAACTCCCGGTCTCAGCTTGGGGACACGCAGTCTTACATGCCGCTGAACTAATACGCATACGACCATCTAGTGAGCACAAATATTCACCATCCCAATTGCTAACGGGTCATGAGCCAGACGTCTCCCATATTAAAACATTTGGGTGTTCAGTCTATGTACCCATTGCACCACCACAGAGGACTAAAATGGGACCTCAAAGGAGGATGGGAATATATGTTGGTTTTGATTCTCCCACCATCATAAAATATCTCGAGCCAACTACAGGAGATCTGTTTAAAGCCAGATATGCAGATTGCCGATTTGATGAATCGGTATATCCTAGATTAGGTGGTGAGACAGACAAGCTGGTAAAAGAACTTTCATGGAATCAAACATCCACACAATGGCAAGATCCTCGGACTCTAGAATGTGATTCAGAGGTCCAAAGAATTATACATTTACAAAAGCTAGCTAATCAATTGCCAGATTCCTTTGCTGACCCGAACAAAGTTACCAAATCGTACATACCAGCTTGTAATGCACCAGTACGAATAGATGTCCCCTCAGGGAAAAGTCAAGTTGCTACAGAGTCTGACGCACGTAAGAAACGTGGCAGACCACCAGGTTCCAAAGATAAGAATCCCCGGAAATCAAAGAAAGGTGCAATGATTGAAACCGGGATTCAAGAGAACACGGATACAGCCTCAGCTGATACTTACCCTATCGAACCATCTCAAGAGGTTTGGGACGCCAAAACTCAAGGTTCTGAAGGGATTGATAATAATGAGATCTCAATCAATTATATCATATTCGGTTCTCTATGGAACAGAAAAGATGTCGACATCAATGAAACTTTTGCATAC